CCCACTCCCCCTGCTTGTGTTCCCTCTCTCGCTGTGTCTCTCTCTGTCACATAAATGAATAAAATCTTTATAAAAAAAAAAAAGAAATCCCAGGGCTTCCTGGAACGGCGACCACTTGGGTCTCACGCCATCTACTTGGTTTTCTACAGGACGGGTTTGGGGGAACAGCTTGCGAAACCTGTGCTGACAACTTGTTCGGGCCCAGCTGCTCAGCAGGTACGTCTGATTGTTGCGTAATCAGATGCATTTGTAAGGGCTGAAAGTAAAACCTGGCTTAGGCAGCTGAAGACCGCAGAAAGGCTATTCCTTGTAGGGGAAACACCAAAGAGTTACACAGAACTAAGTCTACACAGGCAAAACAGAGTTGACAACAAATGTAGTCTTTGAAAAAGAGAGACAGTGTTCTCTGTGGTTTCCAGCACCCGCAGTCAGCTGCTCACCAGTAATGCTTTCTGGCAAACTTGGCAGCATACGCTTCCCTCTCTCCAGGCTCCAGGATCCAATATCCACCTGTTGTTTGCCCTTGAGGTCTTTCTGGGTCCTGGTCTCAGCATAGACCTTCTTCCCAGGGGCCTCTTCTTCCATGATAGGGCCAACCATGTTCTGTTCCTTCCTTTCAGAAGTTCTCAAACACCTGAGCGGATCAGGGATTGTTGGCTCCATTTTGCAGATTAAACAAACAAACAAATGGACACCGGCTTGTCCATTCTCTTGGCTCCCCCAGGAGTAGACCGTGAAGCAAGGATTTCAGTATGGGTAGCATATTTGGCAGGTAACCCCAGAAACACTAAGAAAATGACACAGGGAAAATAAAGGGTGTGTTATCAAGCCAGAGACCGGTGTAGATGATTAGAGCTTAATGCCCTGGGGAGCTGGGCATTACTGTAGAACTGTAGAACATTCCTCTTGGAGTCATCCTAGCAGAGGGGAGCGGGAACCACAGTTTGGTAGGCAGAGTAAGGACCTCCCCAAAATGTCCACATCCTAATCCCTTGGACCTAGGAATATATTACCTTATATGGCAAGGAGAATTCAGGTTGCAGATGGAATTCAGGTTGATAATCATCTGACCTTAAAATAAAGAGATTATCCTGGATTATCGGGGTGGGCCTACTGTACCCAAAGGTCCTTAAAAGTGGAGGAGGAATGCAGAAGATACCGTGTCAGAGTGATGAGATATGAGGAAGAATCCCCCAGCCTTTACTGGCTTTGAAAATGAAGGGAGCCACAAACCAAGCAATGTGGGCAGCCTCTAGAAGCCAGAAAAGACAACGAGCTGATTCCAGATGCCAGTGAGCACTCGGGCAGAGCAGCCTTCCTAGAAAGGGCTCACAGGATACTGGAAGTTGGCTGGAAGGCAGGGAATTGTAAGGCCTAGAGCATGTGGGGAGTAGGGGAAGTGTCTGCCAGATTCACAGTCTCCCAGAAAGGATATGTCAGGTGACCTTTCTCCAATACTACCTTAGTTCTGGCTTTTATGGAAAAGCCAAATTTGGTAGACCCTGCTTTGATTCAAATTTTTTTGCATTAAAACCTATGCCCATACATTGACATCTCACCCCCATAAATAGTTATCTGTTATAACTTATAACTTATAGCTATAAAGTTATCTGTAATAACTTTGACCTGCAACAGCGGAGACATTGTCTCCTAATCCATGGTTCCTTGAAGGCAGGTACTGACATGTCTTTCTCCCCAGTACCTCCCACAGTGCTTGCCTGCATGCGAGACACACACTACACTTCTGTTGGCTGGATGAATAAGTGAATGAGTGTATGAATGAATGAACGAATGATCAAATTCACTCCAGCCATGTTGTCCTGACCCACAAGCTTGATTTTGAGAGGCACCATGTGCAGAGAATTAGAGCTTTGGCTTACGCTCAGACTGGGCTTCAGCCCTAGGAACCTTCAGTTTACCCAGCACATGCTCTGCCTTGTCTTCATCTGTAAAAATAGAAACAATATTGTCTCCTTTAGTGTTATTATGAGGATTTAGTGAGATCATCAGTGCACAATAAATGTTAGCAATTAGTAGTACTAGTACCTAGGATTCCCTAGTGGCCCCCAATCTTACGTTTTTGTTCATCCACCACTCTATGGAAGATGATTTCATAAGGGTGTTGGCAAAAGCAAGTTGAAAACAGATGTTGGTATTCAGTGTGTTTTTAACATTGTATGTTGTATTAAAGGACATGTCTCCCAAATTGGCCCTTTCCTACCATAATCCTAGGACCTGAATCACATATTTTAAATAAATATTGAAATGGAAAGGAAAAAAGGACAGCATCCAACACTGTTTACTTACCAAGAAAGCCAAGTACAGCTGGGGGATGAAAATTTGGAAAGAAGATGAATCCATGTTGCCTCCAAGAAATTAGTGCCAGTTGGTGATAAGCACAGATATACAAGGAGACTCTAAACATTTCTCAATAAAGAAAGTATCCTCCCTTCACACTTGTTTGTGCCATGGAGGAAGGGCAAGTGAAAGGGAGAAAGGTGGATTAGAAACCTAAATTTTTAAGTAAGAAACCTAAACTAAGACTCAGGAGAGAAAACTCCAAGCTCTAGTTTCCAATCAATAGAACATTGGGAGATGATGGAATGTCCTGAATCTGTACCATCCAAGCAGAAGCCTGATGCTCAGTGGCGGGACACATGTGGCCACTGAGCACCTGAAATACAGCTAATGCAACTGAAGAACTGAACTTTAAATCTTAGTTCATGTCACTCAACTTAAATTTAAATAGCTGCATGTGGCTAGTTTCCTCCATATTGGAGAGCGCAGCTCTAGAACATAATGGTTAGGAGAGCAGGCTTTGAAGTCAGACTGGCCTGAGTATGTAACCAACCCCACTTGCTGTGTGACCTGAGGCAAGCTATTCAGCCTCTCTAAACCCTGCCATCTATAAAACAGGAATAATACCTGCCTGTGGGATTGACATTGTAGCAAAGCTCTGAGCAGCAGGTCACAAGCACTCACTCGATGGAAGCATAGAGTCAGTGAGGACAAAATCAGTCCAATGGTAAGCAAGCCATGCATGGATGGTGGATGGATGGATGGTGGTTGGACGGCTGACTGGCTGGCTGGCTGGCTGGCTGGCTGGCTGGCTGGCTGGCTTTTCCATTAGCAAAGACGAGAGAAACTTGCGATCTTTTTCAGCTGGGCCTCCACTGGGTGCCAGTGTGGTTTCATCCAGGGAGGCACTGGTCCCACGGAGGTGGCAATTCTGCCCGTAAGTAGGACAGCTCTATTAGCTGTAGTTTATTTTTAACATTGACTTTAACCTGCTGCCAGAGCATTCTCCTACCCTGCTGTTGATTAGTTTCGAAATGATTTAGAGTTGCATTGCCAAGGGTTTTCATCTCTGCTGCCAATGCCCTCGCCTGCTCTGTGCCTCATTCCTGGTTAGGGCAGAATGCAAAGCCCACTGTCTCTGACATGACTCTTAAGTCAATCCCACAGTTGTGTCTCATTAATGACAGTAACTAACATTTGCTGAGCACCCGCTGTGCACCGAGCAGCGTGCAAAGTTTGACAGGCATGATCTCTTTGGATCCTCACAACTCTGCAAGCTGGGTTCCTCATGTTACGGATAAAGAAGCAGAGAAGTTTCTCAAGGTCAAGCAGTTATTTCGGGGATAGTAGCAGAATTTGACTCCAAATATCTGACTCCAGAGCCTGGGCACCCGAACACTGCACTGTTCTGCCCCTGATGAGCATCCACCGTACATTAGACCCCTGACAAATGATAGGATGCTAAAAAGGAGACAGATTAGTTCCCCAAGGAGCTGGAAATGCAGGTGACAATTACGATCCAGGGTGCACAGCACACACAGGATGCTATGGGAACAGGAGAGGGAGAAGCTCCCTCTGCCAAGGGGCATAGCACTGGGGGCTTCGGGCACTGTCCCTCTGACCCAAATGGCCATGGCTTTGACCTCTTTAAAGTCACACGCCCCCAAGTTTGTTTGTGTGTGTCTCTAGAGACTTGCTGACACCAGTTCAACAAACTCCAAGGGCTCCTTAAAAGACATCGCAGAATCCCTCCACAACTCGTTTCTCCTTCCCAAGGGCACTTTCTCGGCCGTGGCTGGTGACCCTGCAGTAGGTATCAGGTGTTCCCAAAGGCTGTCCGTGCCGGGTCAGTTAATCCAGTACAGTGTCTGTACCAGAACGCAGGACACAGGGAGAGGCTCATACCACACGGCCTGGAGGGAAGCTTGATGGCAAGGACAGCTCTTACAGTTAGCATTGAAGTTGGGAGCCGGGGCTGCGTCACATTCACTTCCCTCTTCTGCCTCCTCGCCGTCTTCCGTTGGCTACATGACACTTAGGAACTTGAACCTCCGAGTCCAGCTCCTCACTACGCTGTGAGTCCTTGAATTTAGGTATTGTGAACTACTCATATTCGTATACCCAGTGCCTCCTACAGTGACTGCCACTAGGTAGGAACTGGGTAGATATTTTTTTAATTGAATTGGATTGACCCTTCTCTACCGAAACATAATACGCCCCCTCCGCACCCCAGTTACCTCCACGACCAATCTGACTCCTCCCTGGAGCTCCCGTTCCAACAGTTACAGCCACAGGTGAACGTCAAAGTGCTTTGTTAAAATAGCAAGAATGGCAAGTCCGTTTTGGAAGTGAGGATGACAATCGCAAGTCCAGTTTAAATTTTCACATTATTTGTATGAATACTTGAGCTGGATGTCTCCCACGTTTCATAGGGAACACAAGGTTCATGAGCTCTACCGCACAGAGTGCAGTGAGCATCAGAGGAGATAACGTGTGTAAAGCATGTGGCAAAATGCCTGATGGATAGTAAGTGCTCAATAAAGGGAAGTGCAGGGCCAATGCTAGGACGAGGTGAGGGAGGGACATGCCTTGGGCACCAAATTTAAGGAGGCATCAAAAACTCAGTAATCAAGGTAAGGCATTTCATTTCTTAGCGAAGACCCTCGCAACAAAGGGCCACAAACAGGTGGCTTCAAAAACAAGAATTTAGGGTCTCAGTTCTGGAAGCTAGAAATCCAAAATCAGCATGTGGGCAGGGCCATGCTCCTTTCGAGTGCTCTGGGGGAGGGCCCTTCGATCCCCTCGAAGCTTCTGGTCGGGCAGGCTTTCCTGGGCTTGAGACAGCACCACTGTAATCTGTGCATGGTGTCCTCACGTCTGTGTCCTCCCCTCTTCTTAGAATGACCAGTCATATTGGGCGAAGGCCCCAGTAGGACCTCAGCTTAACTAATTGCATCTGCAATGCCTCTGTTTCCAAATAAGGTGACTCCGAGGGACGAAGAGTTAGGACTTCAGTGTATCTTTCTGAGGGACAAAATTCAACCCATTACCATCACGTTTTTAAATTCTTGAGTAAAACATCCAAATATCAAAGAAAGGCAGGATCCAACTCTGCACTGGAGCTACCTTGCCTCATTCTGTCCACCCCCTGCCCTGCCTCCCCCTCCTCTCCCTGTATCCTGCCTCCCCCTTCTCACTTTAATTCTGGCCCTGCAGGATGCTGTCTGATTGATAATGTAGTTGTGCTGTTATGGGTATTGCGATAAGGCAACAAAAAAGATGTTGTAGGGAAATACAGGGAGGAGGGAGGCCTCCCGAGGGATTCCAGGCATGGAAGTGTGCAGTGCAGGAGGTGGGTCTCTCCTAGGCCAGCCCCACCCAACTATTCCTGGCCAGCTCCCATCACCATTGATCTATCACACTGCATTGTGATGAGCTGCCTTTTCCTACCATTAGACATAGAGGGCACGGACTTTGTCTTGTTTCTCTTTAGGTCATTAATCCCGAGCACAGCACCCTGAATATGAGAGATGTTCAATACGTATTTGGAAGGAAGGAAGGTAAACTAATGAGTCATCCCTTGTGCTTAGAACCTAAGATGTATAAAATGAAGCAGTGGAAAATGAAAAGTAAAAAGGTTGGAATCAGATTGGATAGAGCCTTGTTTGCCAAGGAGAGGGATTTGGATTTCATTTGGTCAGCAATTGGTGGTCACTGAGATATTTTGGAGAAGATCACCTGCCATTACTGGTCAAACGAAATGGATGGAACAGAGAGGTGAGAACTTGGACAGCAAGGCCAGATAAAATGCTATTGCAACAGTCCAGGCAAAACATGACAGGCACCTGAAGGAGAACAGTTCCGATGGATATGAAGAGCAGGGGATCGAGGTGGGACATATAACAAAGAATTCAAAGGATTTGATGTCTTACTAGATGTTTGAAATACTTTCTTAATCCTTGCTTTTCCAATATTTGGTTAGGTTTTTAAGCAAGTGGATGTTCTTAATTATGTTTCACTTGAGTTAATATTAAATTGGCTGACATGCACTGAACACATGTGTGGTAGGCAGAAGAATGTCCCTGCAAAGAAGTCCATATCCTCAGCCCTGGAACTTGTAAATATGTTAGGCTACATGGCAAAGGAGAATTAAGGTAATTAAATTAAGATAATAAATTTGTGTTGTTTTAAGTCACAATTAAGTTGTGGTAATTTGTTACAGCAGGAAAAGGAAACCAATACAGTATGTCGCACAGAGGGCTGGGCCGAGGGTGCTGGTGACCCAGCCAGATCGTAAGTCTTGCTACAAGTGAGCTGCAGACCGAGTGCTAAAGAATTGACCATTTATTTCAAATGCCCTTCACTTGTCATTCCTGAAATGACCTCTCAGTGGGCTAAAAAGATACCTATTTCAAGCTAAAAGACATGGCATAGTTCTTCTCTGCCCTTTCAAATTTCTTTTTTATACTTGAAGGTCCCCATCATTCAGGAGGTAGGATTTATCCCAACAGACAGTAGATTTCCACCACCAACAGTGATTGAGTCAGTGGTGGCTTTTCTCTGTTAAACATGACAGGCGTATAAAAAACATTAAGTTAATTCTCTTCTTGAGGCATCCAAAGATGAAGTAACTAGTTTAAAAGTAGAGAAAAGCACTCCAATGCACTCCAACGCACCAATACATTATCTCATCCAGCTGTAGAAATCCCAGGAGGTAGGTATCACTATCCTCATGTTACACGTAAATAAATTGGAGCTAATAAAAGAAAAATGAAGCCAAGATCCAAACCAGGGTCTCTAGGACTTCAAACCCTTGGTTCCTCCCATCTATCTCCTCGTGCAGATTCTCAACAAAAACTATCTCAAAGCATTACTCCTCCAGAATCTTCAGAAGTCTATATCAGGTAATGAAAAAAACCCCCGTTTTCTGTCTGCAGTGTGCAGCTGTGTGCACGGAGTGTGCAACAGTGGGATAGACGGCGATGGAACCTGTGAGTGCTACTCTGCGTACACCGGCCCCAGCTGTGACAAGCGTAAGTCCTGCCGCTTCCTTAATGCCCCACCAGACCGGACAGGCACAGATGGATGCCTTTCAACTTTGTGTTCACATACCAGGGCTCTGCGTGGGTGAGGCACCATCAGATGTTTTCCCGGGAGAAAACCAAAAATTAAAAAGGGCGAGAAACGAAAGGAGATGATGGGAGGGGAGGAGAAGGGAGGGAAGAGATGGCATAGAAGAGGAAGTCATGGGAGGTTTGGGAGCAATGTACCGACATAGCTATGATTTAGGAAGGTCAAGCTGGCGGCGGTGCGAAGGATAGAATAGAGAAAGTTGGAAAACCAGCTGAGGCCATGGCAACAAGTCAGCCACCCAGGAAGTGGGGCAAGGCATGTTCTCAAGTTCATGTCTCAAGGACAGAACACATGCACAGGACGTGGAGGTTCACTAAGGCTAAGCGATTCACCAGAGGTCACAAAACTACCAAATAGAAGAGCTGGAACTCAAATCATTTGAAATTCTTTAAATGCTCTATCACACTGGGTCCAAGCATGAGATAGGAACCACAGGGTGATTGAAACAAGGGAAATTTAATAGAATTAGTGAGCTATGATAGGAGAGTGGCTATAAAAGCACGAAGTGAACTCTTGGGCTGCTGGAGCATAACAGAGGAAACTTGGATAGGGGTGACCATCCCCAAGGCTGAGTTCAAACCTTGTTGGAGAAGGGCTGGTGGCAGGCCCCTGGGTAGAGGAGAAGTTTGCTGGTTTGCCCAAGCCAGCATGGGACCACACTCATCCAGCAGGCAGGCAACAATGCTCCAGGGCGCGGATGAGCCAAGGCTAGGGGTGAGCAAGCACACAGAGGGAGCTGGAGGGCTGGGGGTGCCAAACTTGGAGTGTGCAACATCTGTGTGTGGAAAGGGCTGTGGGAAGGTGGTCACTGGGTCCCAGCTGAGCATGCGAGGTCACAAATAGACTGTGCACTCTGAGTGATGGTTGAAGCAGAGCATCACTGAGTGTCCTCACACGCCCGCCCCACTGACAGATTGTACAGCAGTGGCAAGCAAACACAGCAGAAACACAACACTGCACAAAGGAAGCACGAGACGAGCCCCTTTCTCCTGCAGTGGCCACCCAGACCCCCCTACTGGCCAAGCTTCATATATTACTATAAAGGAGAAATAGAATCCAGTCCATTATCAAAGAGCAGGTAATGAAGGGTGAATTTGGAGCTTAGCCATTAAGAAACTGGACGTTCTTCCTGTGACACTAGCCTCACTTAACTTATCCTCTGGATTTTACTCTTCTGATCTGTAAAATAAAGGGATTGGACAAGATTCAAATTCAACAAATTCAAACTCATTTGATGGAAAGTCACTGTGGGGCTATGCACAGTAAGGAGGATGAATAAAACACAGCCTTCTTCCTGTGGAGGAGACAGGCATGCAAATGACTGATTCAAATCAACAGCAGAATGAAACTCAGGTGGAGAGGATAACCCCTTCTGTAGACCTCAGTCAGCCTCCTTCCCTGGCCACTCCTATCATTGCCCAGCAGACTCATGAGCAAAGACCTTTTTAATAAGACAGCATACCCAGCCCAGAAGCCAGCCTAATGGAGAACACGGACAGATTTGCCTCCAAATGACAAAATAATTCTGCTGAATCAAAAGATAAACGATAGACTGGAACAAAATATTTACAACCCACATGGCAGAAAAGTTTTCATAATAATATGAACCCAATTTTAAAATATGCCGAAGCTTCTTCTCAGGAGAAGAAATAAAAACTAGCCAACAAGCTACTTGCTTAACCCATGCAGAAATGCCAATGAATCACAGGTTAATTTAAAACTATAACGAAGTGATATTTTAAAGGTTTGGAGGTTTGGTTTTGGTTTGGTTTGGGGTTTGTTTTTTGCTATGTTACCCAGATTGCAAAGATAGATAATACCTACCTGTGGGTAACAGAAAAATTACAGTACAGTCAATGGGGAAATGAATTGCTACAACCTATGAGGGAAATTTAGCTATTAAATTTTTTAAAGTATGCTTACAGTTTTCTGCCATAGCCCCCATTCTAGGTATTTACCTGGAGAAAGAGAGAAGCAGGCACCAGTAGGTAAAAATATATGTACAAAGAAATTCATGACAGTATAGTTTGTAAGAACAACACGAACTAGACACAACTTGAATGTCCATCAGTAGGAAATGGTTGAGTGAATTGTAGCACATCCTACTCCCGTTAGGATAACGCCAGCCACTGCAAGAACCAAACACAAAAATCCAACGGCTTAACACTAAGATTCCAAAACTGTACCAAGGCATCCCCCAAGCTACCACACCAAACTCACAAGGGTGTCATGGGATATTTTAAACTTTTGAGGGAGGCAGCGATACATCCGTATAATACTGCAGAAATTGCTAGCTTGAGTTAGTTCACAATTTCAACATTATCAACATTATCCCTTTCAATGATATCATCCTTACAAAGCTGTGTTTTCAGTGGTTGCTAAGATAAAAAGCAAGTAATCATGCAAAAATCCTTTCGAATGGAATGAGGGAGGGAGTCTCCAATCTGATTCCAAGGTTTAAGACACTGGGCAGTGTCCAAAAAGCTCACACATTCCACTTAGAAGTAAATATGGTTATTTAAGAATGAAGTAAAAATATTTCTCTTTATACCAACCACATTACTTTTTCAAATTGTTACTGAGGTCTCATGACACACTTACTGAATTCCTTGGTTCTAACAACTTAATAAATGGACCTGGTGGATATTTCTTTTAGACTGGGGCACCATGAAAACATTAAGACACTAAGCACCATGACCCGGGAATTTGGGGAACCTCTAGCTTAACATAACAGAGGTATAATTCTTACTCATGTACAGTCCTGTATGGGTGGTCATGGTTGACACCAGCTTCCCACCACATGGTGATTAAGGATCCAGATCTTTCTATTTTGTGCCTCTGCCATTCTGTAGCACCTCAGAGTGCTCTGCTTTGAGCCATGGAAGGAAGAAGAGAGGATGGAGAAGCCCCTGCTTATGAAATCCAGAATGACACATCCAACTTCCTCTCAATATTCCATCGATGTAAAGTCGTCACATGACCCCACCTAGACACAAAGAGCGGTTGGAAATGTAATCCTTGAAAGGGCAGCCACTTTCTGGCAATGATTCTACTTTACGGAAAGAGTTGGGGGGTTGTTCTCTACATTTGGTTCAACTAGCCACTGTTGGGGACAATTCTCCATGAGTATCTCATATTCGTATGCTTCTTGAGTGCAGGACACTGACTGCTCTTTGTTCCAACATCTTGTCAAGGATGTTTATATTGCAAACAGCCTTGGAAGATGTAGGGTCTCCCTTGGGAACCAAGTGTAGGCATGCATACTGCCTGTTCGAGTTATCAGTGGATTACCTTTCAGCTCAAAACTCATCTTTTTTGCCTCTTCTGTGATAATGGAGGGGAATTTGTAAATATTTCTCATTTGCCAGCCAGCAAGATGTAAAAGCTTATGAATAGAGGGTGCTGGAGGGACACTGAAGAAGGAAGGTTTATCTCTTCCTGTTTCTGCTTTCGCCCACTCACCAGGGCCCCAAAGAACTTGGGTTTTCTCCACTGCTCAGCCCTCCACAGCTTCTCCAGTGCTAAGACCCTGCAGGGCTCAGCTTCCTCCAGTGTTTGCCTACTGTGTACCTTGTCTAATGCTTGACTCAAGTGGCGGCAGCATAGCCAGGAGCCCCAGACTCCACAGACCTGTGTCCCACCACACAGAGTTATGCTTGCTGTTCAGTATGCCTTCTCCTCTGGGCTATGCTCACCAAGGGCCCTGCAGGGTTGGCCATCTGGAGAGCCAGCCATGCCCCCCTGTCTCCCACACGGCTGGCCCCTGTAGCCGCCCTGGTCCCAGCCACACACAGAAGTATACTACCCTTCCGAGGGGGTAGCTTCTCGGCTTCCAGTTCTGGTAGCACCCAGTGGCAAGCAGCTTCCCCGGGCACCAAACGAACCCTCAGGCTTGGCATCTCCTTGTGGATGACCTTCTTTAGAATTCTTTTTAACTCTCATGAGTTTTCTGCCGATAATTCTTTACACTAAAACATTCCCTGTTCAAATAATTGTGTATGTTAAAAAAAAGAAGAAGATAGTAGGAAGGGAAAAATGAAAGGGGGAAAATCGGAGGGGGAGACAATCCATGAGAGACTTTGGACTCTGAGGAACAAACTGAGGGTTCTAGAGGGGCGGGGGTGGGGGATGGGTTAGCCTGGTGATGGGTATTAAAGAGGGCGCGTATTGAATGGAGCACTGGGTGTTATACGCAAACAATGAATCATGGAACACCGCATCAAAAACTAATGATGTAATGTATGGTGACTAACATAATAAAATAAAATAATTGTGTGGTTTTGTCTCTTGCCTGGGCCCTAAATAATACATTGCCTATTATTTAAAAAAACAAAAACTTAGGTTCCCTAAGATTGGGGCTCCTCCCCTGTAATGGAATCCACTGCAGCCCCTCTCTGCATTGCTCCAGGGAACTTGGGGCTTAGAAGAACTGGGGCAAAAAAGCCACCACTCTGGCCACTACTCTTGATGTGAGTCATAAACTGTCCTTCACCTCCAACCCAGGAGTCTCATAGCTTCTACCAGCATCCGTGGAACTGTATTAGCCCAACTTCTTAGCTTTGCACATTGGATAATATGTCAGATTCCTTGTAGTTTTTGACAAACACCTGTGCCCCCCTAGATGATGAAGTATACACAGTTATTAGAGTTTAAATAAGGACGCCTGGGTGGCTCAGTCGTTAAGCGTCTGCCTTCAGCTCAGGTCATGATCCCAGGGTCCTGGGATCGAGCCCCACGTCCGGCTCCCTGCTTAGCCGGAAGCCGGCTTCTCCCTCTCCCACTCCCCCTGCTTGTGTTCCCTCTCTCGCTGTGTCTCTCTCTGTCAAATAAATAAAATCTTTAAAAAAAAAGAGATTAAAATAGATCTTTAAAAACCTCCGTAATATATTGTTAAATTAAAAATCAAGTTGCTAAATATCTTCACAGGATTCTATTTTGTTTAAAAAAATCAGCTAAATAAATTTATAAGTGAATGTAGTATATTGACTGTTGATATTATTTACTTTGGGAGTGAAATGGAAGAATGAGAATCAGAAAACAGTTAATTTTTACCTTATACATCCTTTGTTTTTTGAATTGTCACAGTGAGTCTTTTTTAATTACATTTTTTAATCACAAAGAACACTGCATTGGTTGAGTTTTTTAGAATCAGTTATTCTACTAATGTGGGTATCTCAACAATCTTGCTTTGCAGCCATCCCTGAATGTGCAGCCTTGCTCTGCCCCGAAAATTCCAGATGCTCACCTTCCAGCCAAGATGAAACGAAACTGGAATGCAAATGCCTTCCCAATTACCAAGGCGATGGCCACTACTGCGAGCGTGAGTCGAATTTAGATCCTGCTAGCTCATTAATTGAGACGTTTAAGTTACTCAACAGAAAAAATAAAACAAAACCTCACAACCTCTCTAATATTAACACAATGGCACTTCAATTTATCTCTGTGTTAAGTTGAATGAGATATATAACAAGTGCCGAACACATGCTCATCCATGATGGCTTTTCAATAAATGGCACTCACTCCTTCTATTATCAAAGCACATAAATAGATTTTTACACATAGTTTTATATCAACTGTACTGCTGTTAGGATAAAATACAGTCTTTCTTTCCTTCTTTCTTTCCTTTCCTTTTTTTATTTAAATTCAATTAGCCAAGGTATTAGTTTTTGATATAATGTCCACTGATTCATTAGTTGAATTAAAGAGGGCATGTGATATGATGAGCACTGGCTGTTATATTTCCTTTCCTTTCCATGCTCATGCGCTTTGTGAGAGATTGTGATGTGTATTGGTTATGAACATGAACTCTGGAGGCAGACTGCCAGCGTTCAAATCCCAGATCTGCTTATTACTATATACATGACCTTGGACAAATTCTTTAACTTGCTTGTGCCTCCATTTTCCTATCTATCAAACGGGGATAATAATGGCTCCTTCCTTACAGAGTTGTTGTAAGGATTAACTGAGTTAACGTATGGCAAATGCTTAGACAGGGTCAGTACCTATTATAAATACCACAAGCATTAGTGCTTTCTTTCATGCTATTTTATATTTAAATCCACACATAACATGACATAGTAATATATCAACACAGTATTTGTAGTTATAATCTCTGACAGCCATATATAAATCTGTTCAACAGGTGGGGGACATCAGGTGAACTGTTTATTACTCTCTCTCTCTTAAAACTATCAAATTGCCTGTGTAACTTTGATGAGCTCATACCCTGTCATTGCCTTTCAAGCCATCAACCCATGTTTACAAGCAATCTGTCATCCTCATGCTCATTGCACGTACCTGGGACCGAATCAGCACAGTTGCACATGCCAAGAAGGCTACCACGGGGATGGCCAAGTATGCTTACCAGTAGACCCCTGCCAGACTCACTACGGAAATTGCCCTACAGAGTCTACAGTGTGCATATATGATGGGCCCGGACAGGTGAGAACATGGTGCATGGAACTAGGGTGTCTAGAAGTAGGACAGCCCACCAAAGCTAAAACCGTGCCATGGGTATCACTTGCCTGCTAGGTTCTCCCACTTTGCCCTTTCAATGCTCAATTTGGGCTGCCTCTCCAGGTATACCTCCCTGAGCTCAGGGCTAACCTCAGTGTGTCCCCTCCCCAGTCCATCCTCTGAACTCACACTTTCCCAGCACCCCCAGGGAAAACATAACTGTCCTATGTTCTCTTGTGTCCTGGTCCTCAAGGGTAATTGACAAAATATATACACAACTCAAATTAGATTAACAAATTAACTGTTAACGAAGTCTTGGGTGACAAGGTCATTGACTTTCACCTGCAATCCTCTATGCCGTCTCATGTCTTTTCAAGGTGAGAGAGGACTCTTAGAACTAAAAATATTCTGTCCCAAAGAGATGAGCCCTGATAAAATGTCAGGCAACCCTGACAGATTGTAGGGAGCAGTGAGGCTATTCTGGGCTGAGACCCTGTCCCTCTAAATCACATCATGACCTTGACTGGTAAAAAACAGCCAGGTCCAGAGACCTTTGCTGAGGAATCCAGTTGAAAGAGCCCTTTCACCAATACCTCATTCATCCATCAACTATTTAGTGGGTGCCCACTGCATCCATAACTGTGCATCAAGCTCAGTGGAGGAAATCTCTCTGTACAGAAGGATATTGCTGCCCTGGTAGGAGGAAAGGCTTCAGTGCCTGGCCCAACCAGAGTCATGTGTCCCCAGCAATCCAATCACCCCGAGGCAATGCTCGGGGAGTTCCCTGCAGAGAATCCACCCAATCTTATCTTCTGGGGGAAAAAAATGTATATCACACACTATTTCTACTATTAATGTCTGAGGTGGGTTTGGAAAGAAATTCAAGGATCTGAGCCTCCATCCTCAAAATGAGGGCCCTTATGGGAAAAGCCACATTAGACTCTGAGCCAAGGTCCCGGACCCTGGGAGTGAGATTAAAAATAAATTTTGTCTCCAAAAAAAAATGGGAGAAACCCCCCATTATTCACACAGAGGCGGGGCATTCATTATTCCCATTATTCCAGAGGAGGGTTCCTCAACTTTTGACATTACCAGCATTTTGGACTGGAGAATCCTTGGTTGGGGGTGCTGTCCAGGGCATTGTAGGATGTTTAGCAGCATCCTTGGCCTCTGGTGACACTGCCCTCCTCTCCTGCTGTGACAATCAGAAATTTCTGTAGACATTGCCCAACGTACCTTAGGTTGAGACTCCCAGTTGAAAACTACTCTTTTAGAGCAATAACATCTCCCATCTGAGCCTCAGTCTCTACTCACCTGTAGACAATCTAAAACCAGGAATTATGGAGCCAGAAAGGCCTAGGGTTAAGAAATAAGAAAACTGAAAAGGTGAACTTTACAAACAAGGTGTAATTTCCCTAAGGGTGAAATACATAGACATGATTCCCAATTCCGAATCCTTTGACAAATTTTTAATTGAAGCCCACACTTTGGACCTGCCCCAAGTTAGTTTTTATGGCAAAATACAGATGGATTCAAGAAGGATGTCAGCTTCTGTGACTAATGAGGACCCTTCGTTTTTCTCTCCTTGTCTTCTGAAGTCTCACTGTGAGTGTAAAGAACATTACCGCAATTACGTCCCTGGAGTGGGGTGCAGCATGATCGATGTCTGTGAGTCTCGCAACCCCTGTCATAGGAACGCTAACTGCACTACCATCACACCAGGCCAACCCAAGTAAGTCTTTTCGGTTCTACCACCTTCTTTCCAAGTGGTGGCCAGTCAATGCTGTAAGTTCCTCTAAGGGCAGGAAATGTGTCTTATTCAGTCTTGTACCCACCCTCAGCCCCACCTCGCAGGATGCAAGGAGCATGGTAGTTACCCAATACATCTCTCTTTAATCACTGCATCATTCAACAATTGTTTCCTTTGTAATGACCATTAGAATGTGCTGAGGTATGGCTGTGGCCTGATAACTCGGTAGTAAGTGGTTAGAGCGTGGGAGAAGGAAACCACAGTTGCTGGGAAAACGAAGGTGGGCTGTGATGACAGGCATTTGACCTCGAATGTCTATGCCTGTTTCCTCATTCATGAAATATTGCTTGCTAGTGGTGCCAAACAAGACTGGGGAAGGTGAATAAACACCAGTGGTGCTTCCTGGACTCCAGGTTTTAAGAGAAGGGACTTACCGAGAGTAAAAATATTTGTGTAAAAACTCCTGAGGCAAAGGCAGCTTGTGTGGTGGTAAGAAGATGGTATTTGGGGGTGAAAGACCTGGGTCTGGGTCTCAGTACTTATATCTACCAGCTGAATGACCTTGGGAAAGTGACACCATCTCTCTGGTCTTGGTTTCTCCGTGTATGAAATGAGCACAGTGATGTCTACTTCACTATGTTATGAACATTAATGTGAAAGAATGTTCTAGAAACTACTATAGAGCTGTATTATGTTTTCATTAGTGGGTGAACTGAGGCTAGAACCCTAGTCTTTGACTCCCAGACCAAGGTTTCTACCTCTGTGTCACTTTCTGTTCTCATTGTCATCAGCATCTGTGAAGGACTCACGACCACTGTGAGCTCAAAACCATAGTAGACATTGAACCATGTAATTACTAACCAGTTTCTGTGCTTGCAGAGCCCCTTTTCATCTTCTTTGAAGTTTATTCTTTTTACAGTTGGGTCTCGAATGTGTGGATTTGCCCAGATAGGTTTCAGGACTGTCATGTTTTATCTGGGCAAATAAGTAGATCTGTACTCCCTGTGGGTAGAGTCAAGAAAGCTTGGATATCAGAACCCCTGGGTTCAAGTCCCAGCTCTGCCATTTGCCTTCACCTCTCTGAATTGTGTTTCCTCTGTCATAAAAGGAGAATTGTACCTCCTAGCAGACCTGTGACGAGGATTACATGAGAGTATATTCATCAGTCTCTGAGCAGAACCTGGCATATAGAAATCGCTCCACACGTGTGCATGCACACACCAGCACACCCCAGTCGTGCATGTAGGCACATCTGCACCCAACATATGTGTGTGTACAGCCTACACACATTTCGTCATTCTCTCAGAAAGTCTGAGTACAATACTTTAAACACTTTCCCTCCTTTGTATTTGAGAGGATAGAATAAAAAATGAAACAGGAAAGAACATCAGAATAATGCAAGTGGCATTAAAGCTTGTGTTTAGAATGTCAGTGGGGTACCACTTGATCCCCTTGATCCCCCTCCCCAAAAATGGACTGTCTGGGAAGGCTGGAAAGAGGATGACGTTAAAGACTGGCTACGTTACACTGATAATGGGGCCATCACTAACTTAGTGCAGGTAATTTACTTTACCTTGGATAAAGATTTATTTTGTTTACACCTCTTCAATATGGCAAGGAGCTTATGCAGAATATTCAAAATCATACTGCATTAGTCACAGAGGTCCACCCAATAAAGAAGAATGGGCTCAAACATGGGCTCTCTCACTCACCACCAGAGTGACCTTGGACAGGCCATGTAACTTTTGCTTCACCTGACAAGTCCACTAGAGACCAAGAGTATCTCCTTGGAAAGAGTGGAGTTGATGCTTATAAGCATCCTTTTAAGCTATAAGCTCCATGTTGATTATTACTAAGAAGAAAAAATAGCTTCCTGCCCTGCCCTGGGCACTGCATTTTAGAGCTCCCCATTCTGGCCCTCCACCAGCTACACGAGGGCAAGGGGTCTAAAGGAGTAAGGAGACATTCTCTCCCAGGGCCTGAGCCCCCCTCATAGACTATACTCAGGTCCCTCTGACTAAATGCCTTCAGACCAGCTTCCGGGACCAGCACAAGCTCTTCCTGGTACGATTCTCCCTAGGTTATGGCCAAGGGTTGTTTGCAGAGAGTGTGGATGAGCAACATCATTTCCACCACTCCCATGAACACCCTCTTGGCTCTGGTTCCACCCACCTACTGTTCTTGAAACATGCCATGATGTTCCAGCTCCATACACTTGCACATGCTATTCCCCCTGCTTAGACCTCATTCTCTCCTCACCTCCTCTGAGTCAGGCTAGCATACTGATCCTTCACTGTTCATCACTTCTCAGCCTTTTGGCTAAGATCAAGTGATCCTTTACTGTTCAGCTGAAGTGTCTCTACCTCTAGGATGTCTCCCCTGTCCTCCGGGCCCACTCAGCGTCCCCCTGGTCTCCGGGAGCACCCTGGAATGTTTCTGTACATAGTACATGCCTAGTTCAGTCGTGATGAGCACAAACACTGCCACCTACAGGCTGTGTGATCTTGAATGAGATACTTAACCTCTCTGTCCCGCTGTTTCTTCATCTAAAATGGGGCCAAAAACAGAACCCACTTCATAGGATTGTTGTATTAAATAAGACACCATAGTAAGGCCCCTACCAAGGTAACTGGAATAGCAGCTATTAATAGATATTAGCTATTAGTATTACTGATCTCAATTCCCAATTAGAATGTAAGGCCTTGGGGGTCCATGTCTTATTCATATTTATTGCAACAACTCCTGTCACCCATTACAAAAATGACATGAGTGACACTTTGGAGGAACAAATGAATCAATGAAGGACTGAAATGAACAAGTGAACCAGTGAAGGAAGCAACTGTAGTAAGTCTTTTGGAACACCCTATAATTGCACTAAATCTCATCCAGCACTCTATGTAATTAATTCCATCCCACAACTTATAAAATGCCAGTGGCTTAAGGGTATTTTTAGAGCTGTAAGACAGCAAGAGACCTTCACTCTTAATAAAGAAGCAATTTACAGAAGGGGGCCCTGCTGTGAATATGCCACGGCCAGCTGAGAGCATTTAAGTCAGAAAACCATCTCATGAAATCTCAGACTCCGGACCAAGGTTTTAAACAACAATAAAAAGTATTTATATCCCATGCAGTCCATTCAGCAGCGTCACCATTAAAATATGATTCTCCTGCCATCCTGAGGCAAGATAAGTCAAGTCACTTTATACAAAACAGACTATTGGGTCTCATAACAACTTAGGGAACTTTTAGAGAGAAACATACTCAGCGGTTCGCACGAGTTACTTGCCTGGCTATTATCAGCTGTCTTCAAATGAAATGTATGTAATTTAGAACAAGGACTATTGTATCGCTCTAAGAGTTACCAATCCGCCCTGCCCCCCACTCTGTGCTTCTCAAATTCACTATCCTGGAACACAGGACTTGCAGAGGAAGTTGATGTTTGAGTAGGAAACTGTTATTTGACTGTATTAAGTAGACTCTTGATTCACTGTTCGATCCACCTGAGTGATTCCTTGTAACAAGGTTTCTCAAGCTCAGCACTATTGACACTTGGGGCTGGAGAACACTTGGTCGTGGGGGCTGTCCTCTGCATTGCAGGGTGTTCAGCAGCATCCCTGGCCTCCACCCACTAGATGCCAGCAAGACCTTCACCTTAGTTCTGACAGCCAAAAATATCTCCAGACATTCTCAAATGTCCCCAGGGTACTCCGATTGTTCTATAAAAAATTCCGAAGTCTCAATCAGTAAATGATCTGCCAGTCATCCATCCAGCCGGGAAACTCATACGTATCCTAGAATTCTCTTAAGTGGTGTTTTCTCCAAGAACACGTCCCATATTTCTCCAGGCACAATTAGTCCCTTCCTCCTCTGTGCCCCATAGCATCCTATTCAGTCCTCCATCGTGGCTCCTTCCGGAACTTCAGCTGTGTGGTTATGGACTTGCTCTGCTCTATCCTGCTCCCACCCCCGCAGGACTGGTGGCGCTATTGCCTCCCTACCCTCTCCACCATCACCATCACCATCCTCGTCATCGTCCTCATCATCTACCAAGTACTGAGCTTTTCCTATGTGTCTGTCACTGTACCAGCTGTTCTTCGTGCATCATCTCTCCCATCGATAACCCTAAAGGTATTAATAAACCCATTTCACAGATGAGGAAGCTGAGACTTTAGGAGGTCAAGTAGTCTTGTCATGTTGCTCAAAACTGTTTGTTCTCAGGCCCATCTTCAGCATGTGAGACACTAAAAGGGCAAGATATCTGTTACCGTCACCTCTGTAGGCCTCCTCCCTGGCCAGCTTCCTAGAATTAAGTAGATACTTGGTAAATAATCAGTTCAACAATTAGGTATCATCCTAAGTGCTGGGATATAATGAGGAAGGAGTGGGATGTAGGTTCTAGGAGAGCTTCCCATCCAGCAGAGGAGACAACACCTCAGGGGCTCATTTTGGTGCAGAGGGTTGTGATAGAGGGGGTACCCACAGGCTGCTCCTGTCAGGGAGAGTCAGGAGGCCAGGTAAGACTGCTTAGAGCAGGTCATGCCTGAGCAGGAGGTGAGGCCGGGAGACCATTCCTGGCAGGGCACATGGCCTGAGAAGGGCATCCCAGTCTCTAAAAAGGAAGGCAATTTGGGATTGCTGGAATTTGCAGCATGCAGCAGGAAGGAGACATAAGCAAGTTCCCCCTTTGGGAGCCTTGCAGGCCATGCTAAGCACTTCAGACTTCTTCTGTAGATGAACAGAGTCCATGTCATTTTAAGCACAAAGGTGCCAGATTTCCCTGTTGGAGAGACCACTCAGAGGGTTGTGTGAAGAACCGATTTGAGGGGAAGGAAAGTAAGAGCAGAAAGGCCAGTTAGGAAGTCACCACAGCAATCCAGGCGGGGGTAATGAAACCCTGAAATGTTTGTTCAGGAAACGTGTTGAAAATATGTCTGTTTGCCATGGGACCATATTTGGAAAAAAACTGGACTCATGAGTGTATAACTGTCCTTTGGAAGCCTCTCGTCGACGTGACTCGTGTCTGTGGTATGGACAGCCACAGCCTCCCTGCAGCTCTCATCTCCACAGTGCCCCTCCCCTACCTTGTGTTTGGTTCTCCACTTATCCCAGGATCTTGTGCAAAGGCACCTTCCAAAGCACCGTGCCGGCTTCAACCGGCAGTCAGCTCATCTTTGCTAGGTAGCAGTGGTCTGCTTGAGCCAGAGCTTACCAAGTCGCAAAAGCTGATGGTTAAATTTTCACGATTTTGCAAGCTGATTGACATCACACTGGTAGTTTAAGATTGGCCAAGGTGGGAGTATGATCCATGGAAATTGGCAAAAGCTGAAAAGCAGAGCTCTGCCCTACTCCCTGCAGAGAGCTGGTTATTAAACATTTACCAGCACACCACTGCTGGTGAACCTTTAAACCTTGTCCTTAACTCTATTAGTCTTTTATGAAACTATTGTATAAAATCTCTGCAAATTCCATTATCTATATATTTACTGCAATTCAATTGCCACTTATCATTCAACCATTAATTACGTACCTGCCTGAACCACGCCCCCTGCTAGATCATGACATTAACATAGGGCATATATATGCACACGACCCTTGCCCTTACTCTGTTCTCAAATGAGGGAGTTGGACTGTAGGATCTCAACACTCAATGGCTCTAAGACCCTGAGAATGTGTTTTCACCCTCCCTGTAGATGCACTTGCCAGAAAGGTTACGTGGGTGATGGCTCAACATGTTATGGAAACATCATGGAGCGACTCAGAGAATTAAACAGTGAACCCAGAGGAAAATGGCAAGGAAGGCTGACCTCCTTCATCTGGCTCCTGGGTACGCGGCTACGGGTGCAGGTTTCCACATAAAGGGCAACCATCTTTCAGGCAAGGCATCTGCAAGACACAATCATTCAGAAAGGGGTGGGCAGGGAGGAATCTATTGGAATCAGGCCCCTAGGGAGGCATCATGCAGGTGAGAGGGACAGAACAGGCAGCTGTTTCCAAGGAGACAAGGAGTTAGTGCCAAGCAGTCCAGCAATGCAACAGTTAGTAGGCAGAATGCTGAGGACAGGATCCTGGGTCACTATAGATTAACAGGTCTGCAACAACGATGAAACAGGGCAGCTACTGATGTGAGGATGGAGACTATCCCTTTCCCTTACAGGTCTTCCAGGTATGAAGCGAGGTTGGCAGATAATACTGGGAATAGAGAGTGACTAAAACCAGTGGGTGCCACTGAATTTTGAGAATAGTTGGTGTGACCTTCTCACACACTGGTGGATGTTTAGCATCGTTGTGTTTCCCCCTCCCCCAACCACTAATCGTCTATAGTGACACCTCTTCTCCCAGCCCCTCAGGTGGGGTGACAATCTAAAATGCCCTCGTCATTTCCAAAAGCCCTCTAGGGGTCATGACCCAGCACCCCCTTGAGAATGAAATATTACAGCTGATTGCAGCATTGGACAAGACTTTCAAAAAGATACAAATTTGACCAACAGAAAGTAAAACACAGACTTGACCAATCAACAGAAGCCTTAAAATATCAATATCAAGAATCTACCAGTCACCAAAAAATGATTTCCCAGAAAGAGCACAGAGAATGGGTCAATGCCATGTTGTTGGCATAAATCCTAACATACAGCCTGCACAAGGCATCCTACAGGGAGTCAAGCATTTGTGGCATGCTTCTGCCTTCTTACAGCCTTCCTCTAACAATTCAAACTATCAGATGACAGCAGACGGGGGTGACAGAGTGTCCTTTGCAGACTGTGCTCTCGAACATTTCCCTGGACAAAGTCCCGTCAACCTTCCACACATTTATGAAGTGCTGGTCCATGTTGTCTGCTGTGTGACAGCCCAGAGCCCTCCCTGCTGTCCCAGCTTCTCCAGGAGGATGGAAAGAGGACCAGCTACATAACTTGCAGGACACCATGCAAAATGACAAGATGGGGTCCTTGGTTCAAAAATTAATGAACATTTCAAGGTGGCCACAGCAGACTATTAAATCAAGCATGAGGCTCTTCTGAGCTGGCCCTGGATGGAACAGGGCTGTGTCTTTGCTCACCACGATGGCAAACAGCTCAGAAAGTCGGGCACCGGGTCAGGGACCTTCTGGGATTGACTGAGGATTTTGTCACATGACCCCCACAGAAGGTCACATCCCAGGGTCTCCTTGAACCCAAGGCTGTGGCTGCAAGAAAAACCACACAGTTATATAGAAGCTTTTGGGGCCATGGCATCATGATGCCGTGCTTTCTTAGAGCTTCCCAGTTTACCAAGGGCCACACATATCAATTAGAAGAGAAGAGCTCTTGAGTCAAAGGGCTTAAATGGACCACAAGGACCATTGTTTGATTTTACTCTTCATGTGGCACTGATTCATTTGGTGTTTTCTTTCTTTATGTATTTCTATTCCTAAGACAAAGCCTATGCCTGGCCACTAAGTAACCTGGGACCATTCACTGTGCTCTTGCCCACAGACAAGGGACTGAAAGGATTCGATGTAAGTATTTAAAATAAAGTGGGAAATCCCCATTAAAATTAAATCTGATGATAAGGATGCTGATTTGGGGGGGAAGGGGTAAACTTTTAGTGAAATATAACACCCCTACAGAAAGCATACAGATTGTAAGTGCACAACTCAATGCATCGTCACAAAGTAAATGTACTTGTGTATCCAGCAAGACTATTACCAGCTCCCTAGAGGGCCCACCAATGCCCCCTTCCAATCATGACCCGTTCAAGGGTAATGACTGAGGGGATCGTAAGTGTAGTCATTTGATAAATAGGATTTGCATAATGCAAACTGCTTACTTCCTGTGAGAAGAATTAACCTAATGTATTAACTACATATTTGTTTCTTTAAAATCATCATAAATGATGGTGTGCCTGGGTGGCTCAGTTGGTTAGGCATCCAACTCTTGATCTTGGCTCAGATCTTGATCTCAGAGTCCTGAGTTCCAGCCCCACATTGAACTCAATGCTGGGTGTGGAGTCTACTTTAAAAAAAAAAATCATAGGGGCGCCTGGGTGGCTCAATCAGTTAAGCGTCTGCCTTCGGCTCAGGTCATGATCCCAGGGTCCTGGGATGGAGCTCCGCATCAGGCTCCCTGCTGAGCAGGGAGCCTGCTTCTCCCTCTTCCTCTGCTGCTCCCCCTGCTTGTGTTCTCTATCTCTCTGTCAAATAAATAAATAAAATCTTTTTTTTTTATTTTTTTTTAAGATTTTATTTATTTATTTGAGAGAGAGAATGAGATAGAGCATGAGAGGGGGGAGGGTCAGAGGGAGAAGCAGACT